TTTCCTGATCCCCGGTGGAAAGTACGTAGTTTTGCCACTGTTTTCGATAGGAAATAATGACATTTACCCATTAGACTGACATGACAATGACAATTTACCTTTTCTCCCATTATTCATTGTAGGTACATGGTTATTGATTGAAGCAGTCAATTTCAATGAGTGAAGAAGACAGGAAAACATTTCCATATGGCGTCACCGCCAAATAGCTTGGGACAGATTGGATGCATTTTCCAGTTGAGAAACCGACCAGTTTCACAGGGAATTCGGCGCGAACTTGTCTTAAAACATGTTTGACACATGCTCTAGTAAAGTGCGCCCCAGTAAACCGTTAAAAGAAATGACATGACAAAATGCGCAAAAGATCCGAAAATAGGATGCATGTGGCATATGATGACGCCTGACGAATGCCGATGCACTTCAGCTGAGTTAGACCCAACGTTGCCGGACGTTTCAAAATGTCTAAAATATATCATTAACCTTCCCGACCTCTAGCTAGAAGTCGGGCTGTGCAGTGACAATAGTCAATTCACCACAGTGTCAATTTTCCATGAGGAAAAATCCACTTTGCCATGAACCAATTTATGTTATTCATTATTGATTACGTGATATTTCCTTAACATCTGACAATTGTTATCTAGTAACCGACCAACATGCTTGATTAATATTTACACCTAGATTAACTTTCAGAGGTCGATGGCTTTCATTTGTAAAACGAGCACGCGTTTGAACTTATTACTTTCCAACTCATTAAATCATCAATGTTTATTAATATTATTTGGGTAAATTCTAAAGTTTTTCTCAGTTAGTTATGGCTGTGAGGCTGCAGCTAGTTTATCTGCCTTTTACCCATCTGATCGATCAATCAATCATTTTAGCCAGGTTATTTATTGTGCAGATGTTATCGACAATTCCAATGATATAGAACATGTCGCTATTTATGGAGCTCACTAAATCACATTGCACTTAATGGATTTGGGAGACTTAGGGGAATTAGTCCACTTAAGTAGGCCTCTTCTCGCTAGCATTATAGAAACTTACCGAGTTTTTTCTCTTTACAGCAATTTTTCAACACCCTGTATTGTCCGACTTTTGATCATCTTAATTCCCCGATTGAAAATTTTATCGCCCTGTATAAATGTGAATTTTCGAACTGGTTCATGGCCTGACTAACCAGACTCTTCTGGAGTATTGATAGCTTGATTATAAAGTAGATTCTTTAAATAATCCCCAGCGTCGATCCAATAGGTTAAAATCAGGACTGGGTGCCGGCCAATTTAGCGGCTGAGTTTAAAGAGATAAATTCCGCAATCCACATTTAATAGCAAAATTCCAGATATCCCGAAACCGATTAGTGTTCGATATGTTTCCCACTTAATCAATCAACCGACTGTCTTTCATTGCATTGATTGTTGATTTGAAGTCGAAGTGAGCGCTGACTTCAAAATGGCGCACTTACAGAAAGTGAATTCTGACAGAAACCGTCGTGATAAACCCGCTTAAGTTACTTCAGTTTCTTTGAAATGCAGTTTGAAAATTTTGCACATCTGCGTCGACAACGTTTCGATTTTCAGTTTGGCATTTAATCGTTTAGGACTCAGGAAAAAGTGTAAAAAGTTTAGATTTTCAGTCATCAGAAAATTTTCAAAAATTTCTCAAAATTAGGTCTGATTTTCGTAGCGATTTACGCAGGCCGGAGTTTAGCATTTACCTCCTGTGTAATTTGCGAATGAAAAAAATCAATTTTGGATGCATGCATGCAAAGTCATTTTTATCAATGGACAACGTTTCGATTTTCAGTCAACATCAAAAATTTTTTGAGATTAAAAAAAAAATTGTTTGTGGCTTTTGAGGTTTGTTTTGTGGGGCAGAGTTTGGCATTTAATCGTTTAGGAACTCAGGAAGGGAGAAAATTGCTTTGGCAAGTACTTTGTAAGGCTAGGCCAGCTCTACAAGTGTAAAAAGTTTAGACTCTCAGTCATCATCAGGAAATTTTCAAAAATTTCTCAAATTTACGTCTGATTTTCGTAGCGATTTACGCAGGCCGGAGTTTAGCATTTACTTCCTGTGTAATTTGCGAAGGAAGAAAATCAATTGTGGATGCATTTTGTGGGACAAAATCCTTTTTATCAATGGACAAAGTTTCGATTTTCAGTCAACATCAGGGATTTTTTGAGATTAAAAAAAACTTGTTTGTGGCTTTAGAGGTTTGTTTTGCGGGGCAGAGTTTGGCATTTAATCGTTTAGGAACTAAGGAAGGAAGAAACTCGCTTTGGCAGGTACTTTGTAAGGCAAAGCCAGTTCTACAAGTGCAAAAAGTTTAGACTTTCAGTCATCATCTGGAAATTTTCAAAAATTTCTCAAAATTACGTCTGGTTTTCGTGGTGATTCGCGCAGGCCGGAGTTTAGCATTTACTTCCTGTGTAATTTGCAAAGAAAGAAAATCAATTTTGGATGCATTTTGTGGAGCAAAGTCCTTTTTATCAATGGACAACGTTTCGATTTTCAGTCAACATCAGGCATTTTTCAGATTTTGAAAATTGTGTGTGCCTTTCGAGGTTGT